TACCGAGGAAATCATTTTACGGATTTTTTAGGAAAAGGAAGAACGATCACTGGACAATACTACAGTGAGTTATTGGACCGCTTCGACAAAAAATTGAAGGAGACACGGACGCATTTGACGAAAAAGAATGTGCGTTTTCAACACGATAACGCACCGGCACATTCATCAGCAGTTGTTGCCGCCAAAATGCTCGAATTACGTTATGAATTTGCTGCCGCACACCCCGTACTCACTCGATTTGACACCCTGCGACTTCATCTTGTTCCCTACCATGAATAAATGACTAGCGAGAAAGAAATTTAGCTCAAACGAGGAAGTCATCGTCGAAACGGGGGGGATTTTGGAGAGTTCGACAAATCTTATTTTTTGGAGGGGTAAAAAAAATGGCAGGGTCGTTGGGAGAAGTGTATCTTTCTAAAAGGAGACTATGTTGAAAAATAAAAAAACAAATTTTAAAAAAAAAGGTGTCTTCATTTCTAACACGGGTACTTATTGAACCGCCCTCGTAAGTTTCAGTAATTAATTTAACGCTAGCTATTAGAGTATTGTTTCATTTTTAATTTAATGAAACGCTTTAATTTTTTGGACTGGTTTATGCTTATAAGGAAAGCACTCTTTTAATTGGAAAATCCATTGCTTTTTGTTTTCTATTTGGACTACGGCTAGCCAGTCACGCAATAACCATTGAATTTCACCATTTATTATGAGCGACCATCTCCAAGTGTTATTGTTAGGCTCCTAGACCACGTACCTACCTCGCATTGGCATTGACCTTCCTCCAAATATTTTCCGCGTGGCTCTGCTTCAGGAGCTGAAGAAAGTCGATTGCGAAGGCGCGCTACTGCAGCAAACGAACCTGTCGGTGAAAGAATTCGGATTCGGTCGATATCCGTTAAAGTGAAAGTCAATATCTAGAAATGTTTCGTGGCAAACGATGATGTGATTTGAATATTAAAAAAATTTTTTCGGGTTTTGCTCTTTGCTGTTTCAATTCAGAAGTGTACTCGTCGTGACGCTAAATGTATGAATATGTTACGTAATTGGTTAGAAAATAATTGTTAGTTACTTTTAATAAATCATTAGTTTAAAACAGCTGCTTCAGTTTATTCTTCGATCTTTTTACATACAATATAATCAATATATGTGTGTGTTTAGGCATGTTTTACTTTGTAACCACAACGATCGAACTCGGACCATTGATGATTGAAAGTGGTCGGCCTAGGGTATTTTCATATTTACTATAAGGTTTGGAATCGCATTCTAAAAGGTTTAAAAATAAAATTAAAATTTATAAATTTTGTTTAAGTCGAATGAGGGATCAGGTTTTCAGCTGTAAATGGGACTATACTGTTGGTGAAGCCGCTACAGATAACCGCTAGTGTCCTGTAATCTTCGAAATGTCTTCACTTTGGTGGGTGTATAAGTCTGCTGATCGACCAGCGGCTTCCAAACACCAGTTTGGAATAATTAAGAATGTACTAGAATGTTCTCGAATGCATCTAGGATCGTCCACTAGAATTTACTAGAACGAACGGAACTGGAAGGGTCTAGAATGTTTTGAAATATTCAAACGCCATCGTCTATTTGTGGTGGGGATGGCTTTTGACCATATTCCAATAATGTAGTGGAATGTTCTTCATTGGTTTTTGGTAGATCTCAACTAGAATGTTCTCGAATGTCTCTAGGATCATCCTCCGCTAAAATTTACTAGAATGAACTGAAGTGGATGAGTCTAGAACGTTTTGAAATATTAAAACGCCATCGTGTATTTGTGGTGGGGATGACTTTTGACACCATATTCCGAGAATGTAGTGGAAAATTCTTTATTGTTTTTTTAGTAGATCTCAACTGGAATATTCTCGAATGTCTCTAGGATCATCCTCCGCTAAAATTTACTAGAATGAACTGAAGTGGATCGGTCTAGAATGTTTTGAAATATTCAAACGCCATCATGTATTTGTGGTGGGGATGGATTTTGACACCATATTTCGAGAATGTTGTAGAATGTTCTTCATTGTTTTTATGATAGATCTCAGCTAGAATGTTCTCGAATGTCCCTAGGATCGTCGTCTCTAGAATTTACTAGAATGAAGTGGACTGTAAAGTCTAGAACGTTTTAGAATATTCAAAACCCATTGTGCGTAAGTGATGGGGATGGTTTCTGGCACTATATTCCGTTTTAGAATGTTCTTTATTATTTCTAGGGTAGTTTTCAGCTAGAACGATCGTCGAATGTCACTTAGATCGTCTTCGGCTAAAATTTACTAGAATAAACTGAACCGGAAGGGTCCAGAACGTTCGAAATTTGCGGAAAATATTAAAAGCCTTTTCAAACAAGGACTAAACGTGATTTAGAGGGAACACTGTACTCGTCTTCTGAAAATAAGGGATGAATATCGTACTTTAGGGGCAGGAGTATGGTAAAAAATATTTCCTTTCTTTAAGGGTTTATATATTTTCATTTATATGGACATTTTCCGACTTATGAGTTTTCTAAACGGCATAACATCCCTCTAGAGTCTAGAGCATTGTTATTATTATATGTGTTGTCATTTTTAGGTATCTTATCAGTAAAACTTCAGTAGAGTTACGTATTACCAGTATTTCGCGAATTAATTGACATGATCTTGCAAATTTTAAATTAAATTTATATTACCTTATATGCTGGCAATCTTTAGTTTTAATTTAACAACTTAATTTGACACTGTAATTTGACTTTGAAACTGTTATCACGTATTTTATAAGTTTTTATAATTGCGAAAAACTGAATTTTGCAAGTAAGGGTGGATTCAAAAAACAAGACTATTACAGTAGGTAATATTTTATTAACAAAAGTATAAAAATATACAAAGGACAAAACAAGTTAGAACCGCTACTACACACTAGGCATTTGAGCAAATGAGGTGTTTCATGGAGCATGGGATAAAAATGACACAATTAACACACATACACACACACACGCTTCTATTTACTGTGGTTATTTGAGTAAACAGTAATATATGTATTATAATACTTTTGAGCAATCTTAAGAAGTAGTTTATTAATTATTTATTTAATACAGTTTTATATGATTTGTAAAAATACGGTACTGTAGAAAGTAATTGCACACAATGTCCCTCTGCCTTCGCCGAAATTATAATAGATAAATAATACTAATAATCGTAACAATAAGGGATCAAAAACGAACATAGCAGAGAACACTTTTCGATTTGTTATAATTAATTAGGGTTATTATGTTCTAAACTCTAATAAATAATCTTACCAAGATGCACCATGCGAATGTATTTAAAATACTTTTTTATTATGGCACTACTGATGTATTTTATACATTAACCTACAAAATTATTTTTAATACAATACGAATAGTTTAGTTTAGTTTTTTTTTTTGCGTTTTACTCTTAAATAATTTTAAAACTACTTAATGAAAATTATTTTTATAATCCAATTTCTGCCTTTAATCCAAATTATATAAATGGCATTTTTTAACAAAAATATACTATGCTTGATTTTTAATGCCCTGTAGATGTAAGTAATTAAAAATAATTATCTAAAAATATTATACTTGCCTTACTGGAAAGTATCGTCTAATTTTCTATATATACATATGCATTTACATTGAAAAATTTTAAATTTTATATGTACCTACTTTTAGACTAGTTTTAGTTACTTGTTGAAATCGTCTTCTGGCATACTTCCAGAGATGGAATGGAGAAACCTTTTTAGATGTTTAATGATTGCATCATTAATTATATGAATGCATTTCATTCATTCCCATCACACATTGACAGTAAAACTTAGAGAAGTCCCTGCTTTAGACTACCAATTTGACTAAATAAAGCAAAAATGTACACACTTGCTAACACTAACAATTGACTAATGTTTTTTAATTAACTTTTACTAGAAAGGTTACCTGTTAGCCCAACTCGAATTCAACGAAACCGTACTGTTTTTGGGCAAATAACTAAATCTTTTTTCTCCCAGTTCCATTGAAACTGTTTCATTCATATTTCTTAATTCTCTCTTCTTCTTTCCACCTCTTCTATTTAGCCAGTCCGCCTTAATAAGATCTGCTCCTTTTTCGGCCACCATCAGAACAGGTGCGTTAATATTTCCATTGGGAATCTTCGGAAATATGGACGCATCAATAACTCTCAATCCTCCAATTCCGTATACCTTGAGAGTCGGATCAACCACTGCCATTGGGTCGGTTGCAGGACCCATTTTTGTTGTACAGGAATAATGATAAATAGATAGGGTGTACTGTCGAACGTAGCAATCCCAATAGTCGTCTGTGTATAAGGGCAGGTGTTTGCAGTTTGGCAAGGGGACGTTGTGGAATCGCGACCCAAATCTCTTTAAGGAAGCAGTTTCAGAAAAGGCGACGCTGAATTTGACGCCTTCTCGAAGAACTGCAACATCTCGGTAGTCGGTGAGATAGTTGTGGTAGAGCAGTGGATAGCGGAATGGGTTTTTGGATTGAAGAAGGATTTCACCAGTACTGTGAGGACGAAGCATCATGGGGAAAATGCCATAGACGTCTTTGAAATCTATTGATCGATATACTGCTTCGTAGAACTCGTCGGAAAGGCCGTGTGCTCTTTTGACCTGTGTGGATAAAACGATATTAAAATGCGAGAAGTTTGAATGCACTTGTTTGGAACCAAATAAATGTTGATTACGTATACGAGAATAAATAGGAACTATTAAACAATTGTATCTATACAACGATACCCATTTATTATTAAGTTTTGTTATCATCTTCTCGCGGTAACTTTTGGGTTTGTATGAATTTTTAGGGTAGGATGAATACTTCGATATAATATAAAACATCACTTGAAAGGGATCATATGAAGTGCCCAAATACTGGAATATATTACGTGTTTGTTTTAATTGTAGCATTATGAATTGTTCGAATAATTTATTTTTGAACATAATCTATTGATACGGTAAATCACATTAATGACGTAGCAGTTTGCGTCAGTCCTAAGACTGGTAGGACACGTACCTCCACTCTTTCCTATCCTGAGTTAATCACCGCATTTCCCTAAAACTAGAACCATATCCTCAACTATCTGCGAATAGTAATCTAATATAGGTCTACCTCTACCCCTCCTAACATCCGTTTCTGCCTCTAATATGTCTCTGACTAGACCTTCGTGCCTGAGAAGGTGTCCTACTATTCTATCTCGCCTATTTCTTATTGACTTCCATACAGTCCTCTGTTCTTATATTCTTTCTAATACCTCTTCGTTTCTAACCTTCCCTATCCACGGTATCCTCATCATTCGTGAGTAACGCCACATTTCGAATGCTTCTAACCTTTTCTTATCTGCCGCGCCCACTGTCCATATTTTGCACCCGTACCGTGCCGTGCTCCAAACATACACCTTTAACAACCTTTTTCGAATTTCCAAATTAACCGTTCGCGAGCATATAATCGACTTCTTTTTATTGAAGGCGACTCGACCCTTCGCTATCCTCTGCATTATATCCCTAATACTACTTCCGTCCTGACTTATCTGACTTCCTAGATACGTAAAATCGGCCACTTCTAGTAATTTTTCCTCTCCTATCTTTATATTCGCTCTTTCCCTACTATTTCTTCCCTTGCATACCAGTATTTAAATACATTTAAATAATTACTCCCTCTTGAATCATGGTTTATCATTTCCATATGTATCTCCACTCTTATATTTGTCAACTTGCCCCAATTTCTGTGACCCTCAACTAACTAACAAGACACTTCATTCGTCCCAAGACAAAAACGTGATTCCGAAATACTCTTTTTAAGAACTTTCGACTACGTGTTATCACCCCTATCTACTTTTAATGAACCCTCTCGACTTACTTGAAGTCCTCCGTCAGCGTTTGTCGATGTACTCAATATCATAAGTTCCATGTCAGGCCAGTCGTCGGTTTGGTTGGCGTATTTGGTCGATATGAAACCTACCGTTTCAATACCGACACTTGACGTTAATGGACCGTTTTCGCTCACAGCATATCGGACAGCAGCATTGATATTGACCAGTCGATTCGTTATAATTCCGACCGGTTGATCGATGAGGAAAGTCATACCGCCGGCAGCTATGTGATCTTGGAGATTTTTACCGACACCGGGAGCATCCTTTAGAACATTAATGTCGAATTTACGGAGATGCTCTGCTGGACCTACGCCACTCAACATGAGTAACTGGGGTGAATTGATCGCTCCAGCTGCCAGGATGACTTCCTTACGAGCGCGAACCGTTTGAAAGCGACCATCTTTGTAATACTCAATTCCTGAAATGTTAATGATACAAGGGTAAAATTTTATCGTGAATGTGGACTCTGAACTAGTATGGGCGTATAATGGAGGCGGGTAATTGGTATTATCTGATAATTGTATATGTTGAAAGGTTTGTGGAAGTATTTAATTCTCATTTTTTGGATATTTAGTTGGGCTAAAAGTGAATCACTTGCATTTTCATGTTTATGCCAAATGTGTATCAAATCCCTCAAAAAATGAGAAGCTACGAGTTGTGTTTGAAGAAGACTATTTAGAAAATGGCTGAACCGATTTTAACCAAAGGTGATCATAATAAACAAATGAAGTTTAATAAATATGCTATTTTCAAGCGAAATACGTTTAATAATATTGTTGGCATTGATCAAAAGTGATAGAGTTTCGTTAAGAAGAACATTGTATTCGAAGAATTTACGGAAAAGTTAATGACTTAATCCAATCGACAAATGTTATTTGGTTATGGAAGAAATGGTTTTTACTTTTGAATGATTTGTAAAGCCATTCGGCTTTCTAGAACATTCTTTCTGTTCAAATGTTAAAATTGAAATTAATTTTTTAGGGTTGTTCTGAGTAATTATTTTTAAAAACCACTTGAATGTCAATGTAGATAATTAGGAAATGGATAATTTATTTAAAACTGAATACATCGTCCAGTTTGAATATGCATTTTTGATGTTAAATGTTTTGTGCTTAGATAGAAGTTCACCCTCTATACTTGTACTTCACATTATCTTCTTAATTAAACCACCCTTAGGTCATGCTGCTGAATAAATATTAATATGCTCATAAAAATTTTTTACGTATAACAACGACGTAATGGTCGTTATCAAAGGATGTAGTCTATATTTACCGTAAGCTTTTCTGGTATTGGGGTCGATGAGGACCTTGGTGGCATGCGTCCACAAGCTGATGTGAAGATTAGGCCGGAGCCTAATCGGGCGTAAGAACGCTTTTGCTGCGCTACATCGCGTGCCTCTACGCATCGTGTATTGGAAAAGGGCAAATCCCGTCTGGATTTCCCCGTTCACGTCTCTGATGTCGAAGCCCATCTCTTGACCCGCTTGAAGGAACGCGATCGCCAATGGGGTTAAATAAGGGGTGTCTTGTATTGTTTGGTAACCGCCTGAAATTATAAAGTCGAGAAATCTTTAATAGCAGTTGACCGTTGTCCTCAATGGCTTTAAATATAATCCCTAGCCAGTTATAGGGTTCACAATTGAAAAGTAATGATCTTCTTTAAGATATGACAATATAGATAAAATAGACGCATTTTATAAATCAGGTATGCCAATCCTATTTTTATTCGAAATAAGTAGGTACTGTAGGTAATTCTTAATTTATTATCGATTACTTTCTATAATAGATACCTTATTTTTTAATCCTCTATATTAGATAATGAACATTTAGTACATTAATCATAATTTTTCAATTGAGTAATGCTTTCTAATAGATTGGTTATTAATTATTTCATTAATGCATAATGATGTTGTAAACAAATTAATGCATATAAATATTGCAAACTTCTTTAGAACGGTAATGTTAAAGTTTTCATTTTTGGTACCTACATATTTAGCCATAAATAGTACCTACTCTGATTAATAAATAAACGTAGGCTTTCATGGCCGGCGTCCTCAGTGCTATTATTATTTGTTTTCGGCTTTTCTGGCCGTTGTCTTTGGAAATTGTTTCTCCTACATGGCCCAAACTACGCCAGGCATTTTCTCAGTCTTAGTTACCTTGAATTGAGAAACAATTTCCAAAGACTACGGCCAGAAAGCCTTACCCTGATTGTTAATTAAAACAATTCCTTAACCCCTATCCCGGTATGTTTGTGTGTTTGAAGAAGTTTCACTTCAGTAGCATGTTGTATAATTACACGCTGTATTTTTTTTTATATTTACTGTAAAATTCTAGTAAAGCAAACTGCTAGTATAGAGACAGTCTTAGTCTTGGTTTTGGTCTTTCATTCACGCAAGACCAAGACTGTAAAGTCAAAGCCGATTTCGTCCGTCACTATTTTAAAGTCATGTAATCTTTAAACAGCAAATATTCATTAGGAACAGAAACTAAATTATACTATAAATTATATAAAGTCCCCTTTTCTTTAAGATAGTCCTAAAGTCTTTAGGTCTATTGTCTACCATATACCCCGCTACCTCACACAACTTTTTATTAACTGTATTGTTTCTTTTTAGGTAAGCAGCATGCAGTAGAAGCCTTTCGTTGAATGGTGTTGGTGAGTGTTCACATAATTTTTTCAATTTAACATTTCTTTTAATATTTCTACGCACCTGTGGCATGATATTTGCTCTTCGCAAGGTAAGGATTGCGCTGATCTTCACTTTTCAAAAAATACGGTAACACTTCGTCAAAACTCCACCCTTCGTTCCCTAATTTAGCCCAATTGTCGTAATCTCGCTTATTTCCTCTGATGTAAAGCATCGTATTAAGGACACTTGAACCCCCAAGAACTTTCCCCCTCGTCCAACTGCATCTTCTATCTCTCATTGCCTGACAAGCGGAAGGCTGTGGTTGTGTCCTTTAATAACAAATCAGAATATTATTCATGAATAATTATACCTATATGTTATGGTTAGTAGTACGTCAAGTAGTAGATAGGGGTAGAACAAACAAAATGTCGTTCCGGTACTTCCTTTTTGGACAGGAACGCGTTCCGGAACTAAAAATGATTTCTGATAACGAGAATTGACTGACGTATTGAAAAAAAAATTAAAAAGAATTGCTGATTTTTTTTTTCTAATTTTTGACGAATTTTTATATGTATTATTATAAACAAGGGTTTGAACCGAACCCGAACCGGAACAAAAACCCGAACGAACCGGCTTGTTTTTCCCAACCGTGCACCGTAGTCCGGAACTCGAACCAAACCGAAACAAATACGTGAACCGGTTTTTGAACCAGTTCAACGGGAATTAAACTTTATTTATAATAAACATTAGAAGAAAAAATATGAAATTTTAAAAAAGTAAAGATTTCATACATAAATTTTAATACAAGCGGCCCACGGACCGTACGTTACTCATCCCTGGCATAGGCCACAACAATTATTTAAATCAGATGATCTGAAGATAGACACTAATGACACCAAGTTTATTACTATGCCATACGAGTCAATATTTACTCGAGAGAATTTTTCGAAAACTTGGTTTACGGATTGCTTACAGTTCAAATGGCAACTCCATTCAAACTCTCCTTGGTAACCCCAAGGATAAAATTCCTTTCTTAGAAAAGTCGGGGATATATAAAATTAGCTGTAAGGACTGTAGTAAAAATATATTGGACAAACTAGACGCTCAATCAAAACTAGATTTAAGGAGCATTTAGCTCATGCACGGTTTGGTAGAAGGGAAAAAATCTAGTGTTGCCCAACATATTCTCACTGAAGAACATAATATTGATATTAATAATCTTAAATTAGTTAAGGAAGTTAGGAATAATTGTTTACTAAATAGTTTTGAAAGTTTATACATTTATAAAAATAAACAAATTTTACTTAACAATGACAACGGTCCTATCCCTGGATCTCCGCTATTTAGTCTAATTTAATTATTTTTGTTATTGTTGACAAGGTCCATTGAACATCAACCTTAACAACTATTAGTATAAAATTAGGATCAGTTCCTTTTTAGATTTAGTTCACTTCAGTCCCTGAAAAAGGTAACCTTGTTACCAAAAAGTGCGTCGGACAATTAAAGTATCGTGTTTTGGCGTTGGGATTTGAGCTATTTTGTTTGTTCTACAATAACCGCCAAAGTTTTTCAGTCTTTATATTTATATAGGGGTAATTTAGAATGACTTGAACCTTGCGAAATGACAAAACTTGCGTTCATTGATTTCTACCTTTTAAAAATATTGACACTAATATATACAGTTTATCTGTATTGTATTGCGAAATACATGAATAAAATAACAGCTTAATCAGTGTTTCTCAAATGTACAATATGAGTGCGACAAAGTTTGCCTTTCGTGCATCAGAAGGTCCATGTAATTCTAAACTACCTGTACTACGTTCGCGGTAGTTGCAATTGCCTTTATTAAAAGAATCTGATAGTAAGCCTAATATCTACGTTAGGTGTAGGCCAGTTTTGACTATCAGTAGCTTTAAAAACTATCTATTAAATAAAGTTTTGCGAAATAAGATGAAAGTATTGTTATTTTGAAATAATTGCTTTTAAAATATATTATACTTTCTAATTTGTGTATAGGCAACAGGCTGTATCAGATTGTTGAAAGAGTTGCAGATATACAACCACAATTTATTTAAATTATACTAAAGAAAAAAAAATAAGAAAATCTACCGTTTAGTGCTAATTGTTTCAGTGGTTAGGTTTCCTAATGATATTTACTGTACAACTCAATTTTTTTCTTGTATGTGTGTACATACAACTCAATTTTTTCCTTGTATGTGTGTACACTTCAAATTAGTAATAATTGGTACAAACATTTAAAAGTATTAATTTTCATAATTTGTGTTTAATACTTTCGTTTGAGCCGATAAAATGACCATAATTGCTTATTAACTTGTTACCCACCTAAGGGGCCTAATTTTAGTTTTATTAGAGCAAACCACTAGAAAAATAGTACTTACACTAATTTGACTACCTAATAAATAATATTTATTTATTACAGATAGTCCTAAAGTCTTTAGGTCTATTGTCTACCATATACCCCGCTACCTCACACAACTTTTTATTAACTGTATTGTTTCTTTTTAGGTAAGCAGCATGCAGTAGAAGCCTTTCGTTGAATGGTGTTGGTGAGTGTTCACATAATTTTTTCAATTTAACATTTCTTTTAATATTTCTACGCACCTGTGGCATGATATTTGCTCTTCGCAAGGTAAGGATTGCGCTGATCTTCACTTTTCAAAAAATACGGTAACACTTCGTCAAAACTCCACCCTTCGTTCCCTAATTTAGCCCAATTGTCGTAATCTCGCTTATTTCCTCTGATGTAAAGCATCGTATTAAGGACACTTGAACCCCCAAGAACTTTCCCCCTCGTCCAACTGCATCTTCTATCTCTCATTGCCTGACAAGCGGAAGGCTGTGGTTGTGTCCTTTAATAACAAATCAGAATATTATTCATGAATAATTATACCTATATGTTATGGTTAGTAGTACGTCAAGTAGTAGATAGGGGTAGAACAAACAAAATGTCGTTCCGGTACTTCCTTTTTGGACAGGAACGCGTTCCGGAACTAAAAATGATTTCTGATAACGAGAATTGACTGACGTATTGAAAAAAAAATTAAAAAGAATTGCTGATTTTTTTTTTNACAAATACTTTCATAAATACTTAATAAGGTATTTGAAATTTCATTTCCTAATAGGTTTTACCCACGCTTCCTTCTCGTTGACATCCTAAATAAGTGTCAAAGATCATCGACGACCACATTAAAAAATTTTTTTTATTTCTTGGGAACAGTAGGTATTTGTTTTTGGATAAAAAGTACCCTACGTCCTTTTTTGTACCCCTAACAATGTGTATACAAAATTTCTAGATAGGTTTTAGTTGCGGCTTCGCTCGCATGGAGTTCAATGATCATATACGACTATATAAAACTAATTCTTATATCCTTCGTGATATAAGGTACTCTATGGCCTTTTTTGTACCCCTGACAATGTGTGTATAAAATTTCATAATGATCGGTTCATTAGTTAAAGCGTGAAATAATAACAAACAAACAAATTCACGTTCATATTTACGATATTAGTTAGGAATCATTATATTATGTACGCCTACTTAATAGTTCGAATGAATAAATTCCACCCTTAAAGTTACTAACCTGTATCCCCAATCGAGAGCACTCTTGTGTAAATAAAGACTCAAAATTGGCACGTCACTAATGACTGTTTCGTGTCCCCCCGCCTCCACCAAAAGCACCTTCCATTCCGGTACTTCCGATAATCTATTGGCCAAAACCGAACCTGCCGTTCCTGAGCCAACGACAATAAAGTCATATTCTGGATCAATTTGTTTAACTGACACAGGCCTATTTTCGGGATCGAAGATGTCATAATGAAAGTAGGCAAGGGAAGCTAACAGCATTGGCAAAATCGTCAATTTTCCTGCGCCTATTATCCACGTGGCCACTTTAATCGATTTTAGTATCACTGTATAATCTACCACCATTTTATTGTGTTTTGATGGGTAGGTATTAAGCTTTTATAGAGTAGAACAAGTCTAATAATAGTTAAGATATTATTAATCGCTAAAATTTATTCTATTTTCTTGACTAGAACACTCTGGTTATCAAAAACCTCATCTTACATCTAAAGGATAAATATTGACGCTTAAGAAACTGAAAATGTTAAAGTATCACGCACAAAAGTCACATTCACTGCTTGAAAACATTAATTTTAAAAATATTGCTATCACTTTTACCAATTATGCAGCCAGTTAGAAACTAATTCTATCCGATTGTAAACCCGCTATCAAATGAAAATTTTGAGGAGCGATTGCATGTATGCTTTTACGACATCAAATCCTGTCTAATACAATTGTCAGTCCGGCTCGAAGGACCAAACGATTTTTTGCGTTTTAGATATTCGAAAGTGTTTTGTTGTTTATGTTTATAAGTTTAATACTCGGAAGTTAATGACCGACAATTAATTCCAAGTTCAAGGTATCCGAAACAATCAATCAATTCTCCGACCTTCCTTGCATAGAGGCGGTCGCTTGCCGTTTTATCGTGTCGTAGCGGAAGATTTTCAGTTGTTTACAGTTTTTGAAGGTTGACGAGCTTGTTTTCCGACACCTTCAGTTAATTTTGGTTTGTTATCAAAATAGCACCGAAGTGATTACGCAGTTCGTGTCCTGTATTTTCCAGAACGACCAAACGTGTAGGTGGAATCGAAGTGGTGGTAAAAATTATTCCTGAAACAAATAAAATTATTATTTTTCTTATAATGGTATATATAATAATGTTGTTTGTAAAGACATTCGCAATTTTCTAGAGATGTTTTGAAAATGTGTATAATTAGTTATTTTTTCACGAACTTTACCTATTTATACTTAATTAACTTCTAACTTACATTAAAGATAACCTTGCTTGCTTTGTAATTGCACGTTGTCGTTTTTATTAATTACCCAATGAGGCGGTGAATTAGTTGTAATAGTGGCGTAAGCTTTTTTTTTTCATTTGTATAAAGCGTTTAGCAACTGTTAATTTTACTGTATGACAATTGTTTTATGGTAAGCTACACTTAGGTCTAAAGTTCACCCAAATCCGTTACTTTTATCGTTGTATTCAACGATATTAGCAGATATTGTAGGCTTAAATTATTGTAGAAATATTAATAACAGATATAAAAGTAAAATGCAGTCACTACAATCCGTTCAAATATCATCATCTAGGCTATTACAACATAGTAGGTGGTAAAAATTGAAGATACTCTGTTTTCTTTTAATCTTTCCCGAAAAAGTAAAAACAATTTTTACTCCTACCGATTTTAGTGGCCAAAAATCCTTTTAGGTTTCATCATCTAGTCCATAGCAAAGTATGTGGTAAAAATTTGAAGCGAATAAAAGAGAACTTCCAATGTACCTACTATTAAAAAATCAAACAGATAATTACATTATTGCTTATGCGTATAGAGTGATAACAATTTTTTAACGTGTATTTATTTAAAAATTGTAGTTTACTTCAAATAGAACATTTACTACGTTAGATCCATGCAGATAACCTAGATTTCGTTATGTATTATTATGTAATCTGTTAAAAAAGTTTTTTTATAACATACGTAAGTGATTTTAAATTCAGTTGTCTTTACGCAATAAAAAATTTGGACACACTTATAATACGCGTTACATTCCTAATATAACATTAACGTAGCAGTTGAATTTTCGATGGGTGACGCACGTAGATCAGATTATATTATATAGATTACTTATATATTATGTTGCCCGAATGAAAGCTTAGAAAGCTTCAGTAGTAACTACTCATTTTTCTTTCTTAATTGAATAAAAAAAGTGACATCATGAGGAAGCTTATAAACTTAATTAAACGTGTCTAATCTAAACAGAAAATATTAAATATGTTATCCGGCTCGAAGGACCACATTATTTTTGGAAATTATTCAGGATTGGCGGTAAATCGAAAACCGAATATTGGCATGTTAGCATGCTCAGCACGTCAAAAGATTGGTGATTTTGAGTAAAACATCTTGGATGTTAAAAGTAAGCTTAAGGCAAAGTCTTGCCTTTAATTAAACGTCTTAATAGTCAAATAAGTCCATATTTTTTCTCTTGAGTGGAGATAGCTGTATAAAATAATATTACAAACCTTCTTGCGTTAGAATTATAAATAGATACGTGGAAAAACTGATACTTTAAATCTGAAACGTATTAAGTTGTCTAATCAATCAGTAGGTACCTCTACCATGCAATACGTCGTGTTCGAATAAAGAAATTTGGGATATGTATATTTGTTGCTATTTTTTTCGTATGAGACTTTAGTGACTTTCTCGTAGTTGCTCACATGTATCATGTATTTTAACGATTTCACGAAAGGCCAGTGGGTCGCCTAAAAATTGTGTAATAAATATTCATTTGATTTCTACTAATGAATTGTTTCATCAAGTTTTCCGACTGATAAACTTCGAACATTTAAAAAGCGACCTGTTCACTCTTGCTAGTAAAATAGAATATGATAATCATTGTTAAACTTTATTCTACAGTAATTAATAAATAATTTTGCAATTGGTGGATTTTGAACAATTATATATAGGGATCATTCTGATAGAAAATGAGGAAAAGACAGACAGGTAGAAAGAATACTTAGAGAACATTGAAATATATCAGTTAATTTACTTTATTACATCAAGTTACATCAAGTCATCTTAAAGGAATTCTAGTTTTTTAAGGGGGATGCTAATTAACAACATATATAGAAATATTACAGTATTTAAATTTTTCTTCTTGGAAATTAAAATCAGTAAAATGTTGCTATTTTCTCAAGATATATTTTGTAATTAATTTGTTTTGTAACTGGAACGTAGGTGTGTGAATTAATTGTTAGGCTTTTGATAAACGAATCGTATTACTCGTGGCGTTTTCATCACAGATGTGGTAATGAGAAAATAAGTAATTAATTCATCCTTGAGCTTAGGAAATGGAAATTATTTTATGAGAAATAATTATTTGGGAATTCTCATGCACCCTGTACAACATCCCCGAAAGTATTTTAATAAAATTCTTTATAATAACCCTTAATTTAACAATTTTAGATTATTAATAAGTTATCTCATTAAATACGTAAAGTGTAAAGTTTCATATTTATTATTAACTTTTTAAAAACCGTCACAGAAAATTAATGGTTTTACAGTAGTTCTAAATAATGGTCAATTTTACCGAATTCTCTTTTATGCATTAAACGGTTGAGTAATTGCCAGTAGTATTTTATAATGCTATTATTGTCGTGTGTATATTACAGCACCTCAGAGACATGCTTATGGTTTTTGTATTGACGATTCCTATCATACGCACTAATATAGGTAATGATATATTGAGAAAGGTTGGTAAAAGTGCAAGTAGAGCATAACTCTTAAATTTATATCATGATTTTAATCATTACAGGCGTAACTTCCGTATTCGTGTAAATGAACCTTTCTTTAGAATGTTTGAGAAATGTCTCTTTACTATAAGAAAGCGGTTCTTACCAAAATATCTTTACAATAGTGGTTTAAAAAGTGTAGCAGTTTTATTTATAAAGTAATATTTTTGTTTAATTTATATCTCTTATCCGGCTCGAAGGACCAAATTATTCTGTCGCGTAATTATTCAATATTACAGGTTTACATAAATTATTTATGAATAGCGTTGATATACAACACTTACAATAATATTACTTTTTCAATTCTGCATTTACTTTTGATGTTGTACATGATACATCTGTGGAGGTTTTAATTTCTCTTTTTCAAACTGATGCATGAAGTAAAGAATGGTCAGATCTGATAACCATACATCTAACTATTTAAGTTATGTAGCTGCACCTTCAAGTAATGAGAAAGTGTGTGCAACGGGGCATACCGTTTGTTAATATTATGTTTTCAAATTTTACAAAATCGACGAACAATAGCATTATTTAGATGTTATGAGTTTAGTTTATTTTTAAGGAAGTAAAATTGACTTCTTTGTTTAAGAACATCGGTAGTGTTTTTTTTTTACAAAATGAACTTTGATTGATAAACCTGTTAATTATAGGTATAATTACTGTTCATTAATTATTTCTTAAAATAACCAATCAATCTATAAGCATATGTGAATAATTTTACGAACAGAAAATAATTGATAATTTTAAAAATTCGAATCATTAATTTAAAAAAAAAAATTAATTTTTTGGTTAGGCGTAGATATCAGTAGGTCTAGTCCCTTTAGATAGAAAATGAGAATTCTTTATGCTTTAGTTCACAATTAAATCTACTGCCATTAGTTTTCATTAAAGTGAACCAATTTTGAGATGTAATTGAATTCGAGAAGCACAAGAGAATCAATCCATTAATAATGTAATTAAATATCGCATAGAGCTTCCATCAATACGAGTATATGTATGTACGTTACCATAAATATTGAGTTTGTCGTAAAGATATCAAAGGTGGCTATTAATTTCGGTTTTATTGCTTTTTGTCTCATACCTATTATCTAAATAATTGCAAGAAGAAATATAGCTAGTCCTATTACAATAGACACTAGTTTTCATATCAAATTATAAAACATAAGAAAAATATCACAGGATTATTACAGAAAACAATTTATAATTTGATAATTAAGAACAGGCAAAAAAAACGATAAAATTATTTATTGTAGTTTTTATTTAATATTGTTATTCCTGTTGGAATTGCGCGAATTCTTATTTGATGGCAAATAGTCAAACCATTACGAGATAACAAGTTTTTTGATCTAACCTAAGATAGCTGCCTATAATTTACTGATGGTAACTAATTACTTTTTATGTTTTCCGTATTTAACGATGTAACAGCTTTTAAACCCCTTTCAATTATGCTTAAATATAATCGTTGGAAAATCGAAGTATTATTAAGGGTTGTAAAATTTAATTTATTAGGAAAACACAACCGACGATTCGTCCCTACTTTTGCGGCTTTTTTGAGGTAACTTTACGTAGTTCTTATAATATCAGTTTTTGTGCTAGATACAGTAGAATCCGCTTATAATGACATCGAACGGAAATGACAACACGTCATACTAAGTGGGCGTCATACAAAGCATAGTCTTAGAATATAAACAACTTTCTATTTTGGTTAGTTATTTAGTGTAATAGAGAAAAAAAACTACAAATTGTATTTATTTATTAACAGAAAAAGAAAAAGAACGATGAAGTGTAATATCAATATACATAAGAAGGGTCAGAAAAATGAGGGAAAATGTTAATATTAATCATTCGGGTCATTATAGCCGGATATGATTTCTTGAGAATCAGTCATAATAAACGATATGTCATTTTAAACGGAGTCATTATATCCTAATTTTCCTATAAAGAATGTAATATGAAAACCAAACATAACACTGCAATTACTTCATGTTAAGCTGT